TGTTGGAAGCAGAAAGTCAGAGTTTTTTTACGTTTTAGTAACCATGTTGTAGTTTCTAAGACCTTTATGTCACCTCATACAAATTAAAACTCATAAATGCATTGATGCTTGATTTCTTTTTTCTTGAATCTGTCCAAAGTTTCAACACTCCAGTTTTTTAAAAAATTAGAATTTTCTGGCAAATATTTACAGTTCAGTTTAGTTAAATAATGAAGATTAAATATTGACAAAAATCATGGATTTTACCCCCGTAGACGTCGTTATTCTTCAAACAGTGGGCACAGTAGGGAATGTTTTCTTATCAAACGTACTGTGTGCGTACGTGTGCGTGCATGTGTGCGTAAAGACACTCCCGACGTCACTATCAGGCTGACAGATTAGACTGCACAAACACTGTCACCCCCACAAGTCTATTCATAGTTAAGGGTCAGTTGTTTGTGGTAAGAATAGACTATTGATTTAATTCTGTTTGACTAATCTATACACAGCACAGATTCAATGACCTCGAACCCACTTCATCATGCCAGAGTGGATGCTAGATCAATTTAATCCCAGTGTTTCCATACAGGAGGGAGCAGAAACGATTCGAATATACAGCCAAGTGCATTAACTAGGCATAAAGAGCACTGGTATATTCACACCTCCACCCGTCAGCTTCCCTGCGCTGCACTCACTCAGTCATAAGATTGCACCGTGTCTTGTGATGTGTCCTCTTATCAGAGTGGACAGACACAACGGTCGTCTATACAGCTTTACTTTCTTAGATTATACGCTCCCCGCCTTTCAACAAGCACATGGATGGCCACTGTGTTCCAACTAAAGATACTACTGTAAGAGATGATCCGACAGGCCCAAACTTCCCGTTACACAAGGCTATCAAACCAGCCCTGCATTGTAATGGTGAAAAATATGCTTTTCCTATTGATTTTTGAAGCGTAATGGTTTAGTGGAAAAAAGTATCGGCTTCTCTGTAGAGGTCTCCGTGCTAAATTTAGTCCAGTTTAGAGCACCCAAAACCCTAACGATGGAAACTGTAACCAGACACGTTCGTTGTTCCTTTTAAAGTTGGCCTACTGAGACGTCCGTGCCCATATTTCATTTTGGCAGCAGCTTCAGGATCTGCTTCTCTTTTATCTGTTCCATGGAATGAAAATAAAAGAGGAAAAAGATAAACAAGAAATCGTTTCCAGCTAAAGAGCTGCAAGGATAGAGGTCGAAGACAGGATACACTGCTTAGTTTTTCCTTTTTTAAAGAAATAACACAGCAGCCAGTCATCTGTTCGCTCATCTCTGTGGTTTAATTTCAAACCTGCACTGTTTTATTCAGTTTTATTTTTTTTGTAGAGCCTTTTTATTGTAACTTCAGATTTTTACAGTGTTTTCGTTTGTACGTAGACATTCTCTCACTGAACTGTTTTATTTCCCTTTTTTTTTTTCTGTCTGTGTAATTTCTGCCTTATTGAAATTTCTTTTTTCTTACATTTTTTAGAGGCTGTGTTTAATGTTTTGTCTAATTAAAAATATATATATTTTCTAAAACTTCAATAATGGTGATAGAAAACTCTCAATCTAAGCACTTCACTTTTTGTAGTATTCGTAACTTTAGGCACAAAGAGTGCAGTACAGTGGGTGTACTCAAGTATCAGTTCAATGTCTTGCTCTTCTCAGCAGGGTGGGACAGTCAGCAGGGTGTTAAGGATCAGGCATATCTGTGTGTTCATGTGACCACTAGGTCCCTGTGCCCGAGTCTTTGCTGGCCACCAGAGTTAGCAGTTGTTATGTGAGCATCAGTCTGGTACACTATGGTACTCATTAAAATCAAATTAAACACTGACAGCAGGCCACTCATGGGTAGATAATGCAATTACAGAGAGCAGTGTTTTGCAAAGAATTCTTTTATTGCTAAGTAAATCTTCCCCTGACTTCCCCTTTGCCATCGCTGGCTTTAGTCTCATGTGGCACGGGACACATAAACTGCAGATCTGCACAGGATGTTATACTGTGTTTCCCACCAGCAGCACGCACACTCAGCAAACAGCCATATTAGGAGACCTGTTGATGTTCCTGCTGTCTTCCAGAGATGAGGAGAATCTCCACAAAAATTTCCAGTTGTATAATTCATTTGAACCATAAACGCAGTTGCAAGAACTTAGAAGTTAATGTTAGGCTGTAAATAAGCTGTACCGCAAGTGCGCGACTTTAATGCACCGTTAACCGCTTGTATTTAGCATGATGATGCTGAATGTTGAAGGTGTTTTTACTGTTGTATTTTATGATTCACCATAACCACAGGCCTTATTCCAGGGATCCACAACCCTCACTCCAGGACGAGGGAAGTCTGCTTACTTGTTAGCATGCTAACATGTGCTTGATCAGAAACTGGTAGATTGTAAAATTGGAGTTGAATGCTGGACATCCATGGGTGTTTTCTGAGCTTAATCAATTCTTAATCAATTGACTTTGTTTCAAGAAGGCCGAGGTGAAAGAAATTCATCATGCTTCTGGTAGTCTTTTGCTGGCCAAGCCTAAAAATACCTATAAAACAACTTTTTGTTAGCAACAGTTCCATTTTTGATGCAATGGGTGTTAGTTGGTGGTTAGTTTTTAAGCTGTAAGTGTCATTTTTATGGCAGCCTGGTGGAAAGCCGCCATTACTGACGTCCTAATCAAATGTCTAACCTTAAAAGGGAGTTTAAAAAAAAAAAAAAAAAAAAAAAAACTCAGTTGCCACAAAGTTCCCAGCTGATCTTTAGCTACGAGTCCTTGAGCCTGTAGTCTTTATTTTCCTTTGTAGTCTTTTACGTGTTGTGTAGTGCGATTGTTCGAACAGCAGATGGGTTTCCAACTGGTTTTTTCGAAAGACAATGCATCTCTTTGAGAGGAAGCCTTGGGTGATTTGTGACCTTCAAACTGGTTCCTGTCTTTTGTCTGCAGGCTCATAATCCACCGAAGGATAAACAAGTCAGAAATGTTTCCCTGCTGCCGAACACAAAGACCACACAACCCTTGCTGTGTTAACACCATCATATTTTTTGCTTTTCCCAGCATATCAAATATTACTTCACGTTGCGTAAGATTTGCTTTAGATTAAACAGGCATTTTGGTAAATGAACTATTCATCAGACACCCCTCTCCTGATGGCAGACATTGTTGGGAGGGTTTCATTTCCTGGAAACTCAAGAGGATGAGACAGGCCAGCTCTGACCTTAGGAGTGTCAGAAATAGACTTTAGATAAATGTGCTGCATGGAAGAAGGTGGCTACTGTTCTATAGCGGTCAGACAAGTGTTGAATAAAAAGACTTGATTTGTAGCCTGTAAGAAATTAAAATGAAAAAAATTTGTTATACTTAACTATAAATAAAGGAAAGGGGAGTGGTTTTAGTCTGAAAGTCAAATTTGTAAAACGGTGTCACAAAATGCTTTCTATATAAATACAAAAAACCCCAATGCAAACAAAAAGCTTCAAATTAAACATTAAAAACTCAAAATTTAAACTTCAAGGATGGTTTCATATCAATTTTTAAAAT